TCACTACTCGCTCAAAGAGTGAGCAGAAGGGTCCTGCCTAGAGCCTTGGTTTATCCAGGGTAGGTGTTCTCAACTGGGGCTATATCTCCCCCAAGGGGGCAAAAATCCATTCTTGTAGGGGTGTGAAAAACATCTTAGATATTACAATCGTTTGTGGCCACAGTATGTAGCATATACAAGTTGTATATCTATAGACGGTCCCCGACTGATGATAGTTTGACATGATTTTTTGACTTTATGATGGTGTGAAAGCCATGTGGATTTAGTGTAAACTGTAAGATGATGTTTGGTAGGTTAAATGTACTAAATGCATTTTTGCCTGATAATATTTTCAATTTGTGGTTGGTTTACAGGGACGTCACCCATTGTAAGTCGACGAGCTTCTCTGTGTGTGTGTGTGTGTGTGTGTGTGTATATATGGTATATCTGTGGTATTAAAATTTCACGAGGGGAAGAGGGACGGTGATTAGGAAAAAAGAGACTTAAAAGTTTCTTTGGGGTGGGGGTAGGATGATAATGAAAAAAGGTCGAGAAACACTGAAGCAGGCAGGGCCTCTAGTCCCAGCGGACTGCCAGTGGCCCAGGTAGGGTCTTCTGGTGCGTTAAGCCCTGACCAGCAAACTCTACATTGCGAGGCATGCTAGGTTGGCCCTGGGAGCTCCTTGCTGTGCTCCCACTGAGCCAGAAAGTCCTCCGTCCCCCAGCCAGCTGCTCTCCTGTTCAGCGGCATCTGCGTCTCCACAGCCACCAGTGAGTCCTGGGGAAGCCCAAGACCTGGAGTGAGGAATTTAACAAGATGAGAACCAGTGTGGCCTGGCCTCTCTTCCCAAAGCGGGAAAGTGCAAAGGTTCTCTCCTATGCAGACAGGACTGAAGGGTCTGTCTGGTAAACATACCATGAGGCACGATGCTGCTCACACAAGAGCCCAGTTCCATAGCTCAAACCTGAATTTTCTGATCTTCTTTAATCAGTGCCTATTTCCATCATAAGGATGAGATCACATCCTTTCCCCAACCCCAGCCTCCAGCCTTCCCTAACCAGATAAGTTTATGAGCATTATGACAGACAGAATCAGTTTTCTTATCATTATTGTCTATTGTTGCTGATTTTTATTGTAAATAAATCTGTAGGGAACATGACAAATTGTTATGTAGCAAATGTCCATGACTTTGCCTTCTACTATCAGCCATCCTGATTTATGACATGTAGATTTCAATTATTAGGCTGAGATATCACTTTTAAAATTCTCTGTGATTAAAAGAAAGAGCAAATATTTTCTGGCTTAATATGGTATTTCAAATGATCACTATTTCATATTAATCAAGCATGAAATGGCATGCAACAAAGTTTTGATACTACTTTTACTTCTGTCTTTTAAATAGGCACAATTTCTTTTCTTGGCTATACAATTTATTAGCCATGTGACCAAAAAAACCCCAGCTTTGAGATATAATTCACATACCACACAATACCCCCATTTAAAGTACACAATTCAATGTTAGTATCATCGCAGGGTTGAGCAACCATCACCACAATCTAATTTTAGGAATTTTCATCCCTCCTAAAAGAAACCTCAAACTCATTAACAGTCACCCCCCATTCCTCCCTCCGACCCCCAGGCCTAGGAACCACTAATCTACTTTGTCTCTAGAGATTTGTTAAACAGGCACACATTTTTGAGCAAAATCATTTCATATTCTAATCCTATAAGAAACCAATAGCTGATTATTCCATAATTAACCAATAACTTAACCATAATTAACCAATCATATTCCTAATCTTGATTTTAGCTGGCACTTTGTGTGAAAAGTGGTGTGGCCTGGTGGGGACTGCTCTGTGTTACTAAAACTTCATTCCCAATAAGCACCGAGACAACAGGTTTAGCTTCCTTCCTGCCCAGAAGTGTTCACTAAAGTCTCTAAAATTTTCAAATGCAATTATAAATGCACCGGGAGCTTGCAGTTTAAGAATTCCGATGGTGAAGTTGTTTGTAAAGGCTAATCTCTATGGTAAAAATCCACTCACATTCTTCTTGAACACAGACACATGAACTGGTTTGGTTTGTAAATCTTGGTTTCTATAGGTTTGGTTTGCTTGAGGGCTTTTCTTCTTGGTCTCTCTGCAGTGATTAATGTGTAGCAATGGACATGTAGCTTCCTCCTTGAAGGTCCGGACTCCCTTGCACAGGGATGAAATGGTGGGTTCAGGAGAGACCCTTGCACTGCCGGCGTGCACCAAGTCTGGGCACGAGAGCTTCAGTATCCACACAACAGTCTGCCATGATGGCTCATCACAGAGCTTTCCTGGGACCCCGTGGGGAACAGCAAGTCTGAAAATGGATATCTTTTCTAGCCCCTTGCAGCTACTAAAATGGTTTTCCTCTTTTAACACCAGATGCATTGGTGTGCTGAAATGGCAGAATCTGAGACACATCCACTAAGGTCGTTGTATAGACAAAAAGGTGGATCTGGCCAGGGAAATGCTAAATACAGGCCTTTCCCCACACATTTCCCTGACATCATGCTTGGATTACCAGAATCTTGCCTGCACAGTGACAGGACTTTCACCTTTTCACAGCACTTTCTGGTTTACAGAGCATGTTTGCAGATGTGATTCAATCTGAATTTCATTGCAATCCTGTTAGGTAGGTAGAGAGGGTCTTTCATTTTCCAGATGAGAAACTAAGTGTAAGAACTTGCTCAAGGTCAAATGGCTAGGTGGCAGCACTAGGACGCCTAAGTTGAAGCCCAGTCCGCCTTAAAGCAATCCTCTGGGGAAGTCATACAGGTGTTCCAACTTTGTTCGAAACTATTTTGAAACTTCTCTTTCAGAACACCTTCAAGATCTCTAGCACATCTTTGAATATGCTCAATGCAAGCACAATCTCATCTAAGCCAGTGGTTCTCAAACTTGAGCGAGCATCAGAATTGCCTGTAGGGGCTGTTAAAACATGGATTGCTGGGCTCCACCCCTAAAGCTTCTGATCTATTAAATCTGAAGTGGGGCCTAGGATTTGCATTTCCAATAAATTCCCAGGTGATGCCGATACTGTTGGTTCTGGGCCACACGTTGGGAGCCACTATCCTAAGGAATTTATTTCTGACTACTAATTACGGTGGGGTATCAAACTAGGGAACTCCACCACTGGCAAAAAGCCATGGGCAATTGTAAAGAACAACACTAGCTCTAGCTCTGGCGGAAATTCAAATAAGAGGTTCTGAACAATGGCACTTTGGACGAAATGTGAAGTTTCCCAATGTTACTGCTTTACAGGGGAGAACATTCTTCTTGGATGTGTGCTAAAGAATTCTCATGAGTACGTATAGGAACACCTCGCACATTTCATTGTAAGTTGTTCATTATCAACCTTTTCTTTTCCAGTTACAAAAAAAAGAAGCCACGGTGCTGACACCCACGTTAGAGAGAATCAGTACTGTGTTAAGGAAGAATTAATAGTTATTTACAACGGCTGAACTAGTCACACTGGCGCGGCAGAGGTGCTCTCCATGTTGCAAACATGAAGGGTGCAGATGATGAGGGGAAAACTGATTCTTCTTACCCTGATTTTTCTGTTGTGAATGGAATGGAAAGAGTGAAAAGATGTAATTTTGGATTCCAGAGATAAACATGCAACATTTGGCAGGGAAAAATCCCAGCAGAAAAGAAAAAAATGAACTACCTTAGGTACTTAAGCTGAGAGAAAGTCAATCCTTCATGTCACAGCAGGGAAAAAAGAGGCGGAGGACTGCCTAAATATTGGTTCTATTTTAATTTCAATTCTACATTACATTAAACTCTCCTTGTACTCCTCTTTAATTTACAGCAGATGCTGACACAAATTGGTGTGCCTTCTCTTCTTTGACATCAGTATTTCTTGTGAATTATGTATTTCTTCTGGAATGAGGTTTATGAGGCTAAAGCCTTCTTTCACTTAGACAGATGAGAACACGGAAGGATCAATGGGAGGTTGAGTGTAAAATCAAAGGAAGGTGGGGCTGAGATATGTTCAGGGCAGCATTTCACTGCCCAAAGAGACTTTTACAAAGTGGTATTCAAAATGACACTGGTCTTTCAATTTTTATATATTAATTAAACTTCAACTACTATAGAACAAGAAAAACTTCATCCCAGAACTGCCAGATTCTTCATTTATTAGTACCCTACAAGTACTTAGTAACCACTTGTAAGAGTACACATTCATTACTGGGATTCCATCTAAGACTGAGTTAAAGATGAAAGAAAGCCCTGCCTGATGCAGTGTGTTTTAGCCATCTCAACCCTCACACGTGAATGGACTTGGTTGTGATGCTCAGGCTACCTCGCAGGTTGGTGCCATGGGCAGATCTGGCCCCATTACTGGTGACAAATGGTTCCTGGCCCATGTCAGTTCATGTTGACAGAGGCCATTTGCTGGCTCCTTCTGGGGCCCGACCACGCCTCAAGTCCATTCTCGGCTTCATCAGTTTGTGATGGGCTCTGGCTGGCCACTTACACCAGGGCTGACATGGAGCATTTTGATGAAGCTGTTCTGAGATAACACTTGAGCCTCACCCCATAAGCAATGCTCAGCCATCACTGAAAACCCTTCTTCGGATTTTAATCTTTACCCACCACCCACTTCACCCCAGGAATGGGAACTAGGGATAAAGTGAAGCTGTTTGTTTTGCACATTGCTTGTTAAGTTAAAAAAGAAGAGAATTTCATATGTTACTTACAATAACTTAATGTAAACATTGTCCCTGAGTTAATATGGCCACATTAAAGCAGCTCAATCACAATGTTCTTTGGCTGAACCTGGCTGTGCCCAGCAGCCATGTCATGATGTCACTTACCCACTGGCACACCCCTCATTTGGCCAGTGGTGGACCAACCTGAAGAACATGTGAGGTACACTGTCAACCTGGAAGTGGGCCCCAGGCAGGAGACCGGAGGGGCTGTTCCAGCCTCTCTCCAGGTCCAGGGGCAGGCGCTGCTCCCAGCCATGGCTCTCACTGCTCTGCTGTCTGGGGAGCCACACAGGAGAATGGCCTGTGGAGACTGAAAACTGGCTAAAAATACCATTCTGGCTAAAATGTCTGTGTTGGATTCATTTATTCTATAATTTAAAGAATTCCACATTAATGAAAGAGAAGTGGAATCCTGAGTGCAAGCTAAAAATGAAATTTAAAAGGGCCCATTCTTCAGGCAATATTAATGAAAGCTTTGTATATACATTGGTGAATAAATGGCACTTAAAACTAAAATGTCTGTTAGTGATTCACTGGGTTCTAAAGATTGGCCTTGCCTTCTGTGGTCAGTAATCTTTTTTCTTTGTGACTCCACTATTCTAGACAGAAAACAGTTAATCCAATAAGATTTAGTATCTTACAAAAGATTCACTAAAACATTTTCTGCCAAATGTTCATCTTTTAACAGCTGCTTTTTCATTTCGGTGAGAGGTACTTGAAATAAAATCATTGTTCTCCATGAAAAATGCATGCTAAATAATATAGAACTACCAGATTATCAAACAGCAAAGGCATTTGATAATATTAGCACCAACCACAGGTTCCACTTCTGCTGATGCACAAAGTTTTGAGTCATTAGTCATTGCACAATATTGTATTTATGTTCTTTTTTGCTCGAGCTGTTAGGCCACAAAATCAGCAGGCAGTTGCTGTTATAAAAGGTTCTCTGGGTTATTTATAATGTTTCTGCTTCCTTACAGTTGCTGCCTCACTCTTGGGTCCTGAGCCAGGTCTACACTGTGACAGTGAAAGAATGAACCGAGCAATTGTTCTGTGACTCTAACTGTACTGAAGGCTGGTGTGCATGCTTCCCAACACACTGTGTATGCCTTGGCTGGTGCACCTGGTATTTTTGTCTACACAACCCATATTCATCATATACTGGCTGATTTGTCACTTTGCCGGGGAAGGATGCATAGTTATGTGAAGGCTGTGCTTCTGCCAGGAATAAGCTAGTGTCTAAGGCACAGGTGGTAGGGCAAGATATCTGAACTAGTATCATGTTGCAAAAGAGTTTCCTCCAACCGTCATTTACTTTAAATGAAGGATATATTTCTGCTCCACATGCTTGTCCATTGCACAGATCAGTGAGTCCCTAAAATGAGGGTGGTAGGCAGGTAGGCATGCCCAATGGAAAGGCACATAGGAATCAGATGAGATTTTTATTTTTTGTAAGTTATGCAGGCGCCTTTCTGCGCTATCTGCAGAGACTCACTGATGACATGAACTCTTTCTAATGGGAGTACGTTTTAGCACTTAGGTGAGTCAGGAGTTTAAAAAAATGCTGGAAACCACTAAGACTGACAGACGATTTGTTTGTTTTGGCCATAAAATAACCATCTTACTTGGTCGTGGCCAGGAACTATCTTATTATGCCAGTGTGTCCCTGTCATGCCAGTGTATGCCCGCTGCGTGGCATGCAGAAAATTCAAAGTGTGCTAAATAAACGGATATACAGTAGAGTGCGCCTCACCCCATTTTGCCATGCTTTCCTACAGGGGCATTTTCCGTTTCTTAAAGAGCTGTTTTCAGTTCTAGAGGCCACTTTTGTTTCATTCGTCTTGGAACTACAGGGATGTGCTGAGCATAAGATGAAAGGCAGTCTGAGGACCCTGACTGTGATCACTGGCCGTGAAGAAACCCTTTAGGCTTCTCTTTGTGCAATGTTGTGGCCTAGAGATCTGAAAACCCTCTTTCTACAAGATGCTTAGAACTTCAGGATATAACAAAAACCCCATTAGTATAAGTGTATCTAAAAAATAAAAAGAGGATTTTCCCAGAGTCCAAAAACACAGAGGGAACTAAAAACCAGAGTGTAGTAAGTATATAAACTGGTGTTGGGGTTTGGGTTTTAAGGCCTATGTTTAGACAAAAGGTGGGTTTCAAGCAAAGTGGGGTGCTAGAACTAAGTCTCCTACGGAAAGAATGGACTGGGGAGGGGGTGGAAATGAGCCTCCAGCTAGGGAAACGGCAAGGAATTCTGTCTCCACTGAGACTTTGTAACCCTGATCTTGTTCTTATGCAGTTTAGGTTTTGAAATTTATACTGTCTGTGTGATCAGAAATTCACAAGCCAAGATATCAAAATAAAGGTATTCCTCAGCTAGGGATACTCCTGGGGCAGCTGGCAAAAGCAAAGACAAAAGTTCTCTGGTAAGAAACATCTTCAGCATAGACCATGTAGGACTCTCATAAAGTATCACTGCAGATAAGCTCACAGCCCAAAATTACAAAACATGTGACAAAACAATCTACCATGAAAGAGAGTAAGGAGTTAGAAATACTAGAATTAGTCCCTCACAATTTCAGATAATAGAGTCATCTAAAAGAAACTATAGGTATATGTTTAAAATGATTAAAGATAAAATGAGAAATTTAAAAAGAATAAAAGAATATACCATATGAAAAACGAATGGGTAGGTGTGAGATAGAACCAAATAGAATGTTTAGAAATGGAAAATATGTTTACTGAACTCAAAAATGGGTTAAACAAATTAGACATGGCTAAGAGAATTAATGAATTGGGTAAGAGACCTGAAGAAATATTTCAGAACACAGCACAGAGAGACCAGAATATAGAAATTATGAAAGAAGAGTTTAAATTTGAAAAGACATGAAGAACAGAAATAGAAGGTCTAACATATATCTAATAGGTCTAATATACATCTAATCCCATAGAAAATAGGGGAGAGGCAATAACAAAAGAGAAAAGTGCTTGAGAATTTTTCAGAATTGATGAAAATCATGAATACTGAGATTCAGGAAGAACAAAGAATCATGAGCAGTATAAATAAAAATAAATTCAGATCTGGACTCATTGCAGTGAAACTGAAGAATGGCAAAGAACAAGAGGCATTCTTACAAAGCAATACTGTTATTCTCTCAAATGTGTGCCTAAAAGCTAAGTTCTGCTGTAGGCTAAATCTTAAGCAAAGAAGTCACATTGTGTTTGTGATATTTTGTGTCTTAAAAATTATCTGAAGCAAACACAGAAAAATGTTAAGAATTAATAAAGCTGGGTGGTGGGTCAATGGGTGTTCATATTATTTTCTATACTTTTCAGTATAATTAAAATATTTCATAATTTTAAGGAAGGAAGGAAAGAAAAGGAAGGAAGGAAGGAAGGTAAAACAAAGAAGGAAATAAAGCAAGAAGGAAAGAAGAGAGGCAACCTGATTCATCTTGGGACTACTGAGGGAAGTATTAATAGTAAATGTATGGATTTGATACAAAATACAGTCACTTGCAACTTGATCTAAACAATTAGATTCCTACATGCTAAAATTAAAAGTTAAAGAGAAGACTTTGCTTGACATTCTATGCTGAAAAAAAAAAAAAAAGAAAAAAAAGAAGACTATGTGGAGAAAAAGGATATTCTAATTAGGAACAGGACCGCCAATGGGGAAGTCACCTAGCAGATGTAACTATGATCTTTCTTTTCCCAATTTTGGTTTGTTTTGACCAAGGAAAGAAAAGGATTTAAAACTTTCAGTTTTAAGAGAATCTCTCGGGGGATATGTACTTCACCTAACCTCTGGACTCCTTCTATCTCCAAATTGCATAGCTTTTCCAGGGCTTGTACTATACTATAGAGCACTTCTGTATTTTGTTAAAGGAATGGAAGTAGGAAGAGGAAAGCAAGAGTGGCTTGCTTTAAAGAGTTGCCCCTTTAAGCTCTGTCGCACTGTAGTACATTCTGTTCGCATACACATGCACACATAAACACATGGCATTCCTGCCACTAATAGTTTATTCATAAAGAGTACATGCCATCAACATAGATAACACACAAAATATACACACCACTAACCTACAACACACACACATACACACACACACACTTTCATACAAAGGGCAGACAGATGTTCAGCAAGCTATGAACCACACACAGCTCTTTTTCCTTTTCCTTGCCCACCGCCACCAGCAGCAATGGGCGTTAAGGGCGGTGGGCAGGACTCCCACTCTCCGGGCTCTATAGTTTGGCTCCAGATGGTTTTTTCATCTCATAATTTCAGGTCTACCCAAGAAATACTGCCCCTTGATGGTAGCCACTGACAAGACCTACAGTACAGCCCTGGCAGGTCTGCTCCCAAGAGTAGCACTAAAGCACCTCAGGAAAACGGACAAGGAGCAGGCCACTGGCTCACTACCATGTTATCACACCATGTCTAAGGCACTTAAAGAGCGGGTAGAAGTGGGGCTTAGGTATAGAAAGCTAAGAGGAAATGAAGTTTTAGTTGTCGACGGGTAAGAAAGCTCCCACAACCTTATACCATCCCTTCGTACCGGGCAGAAGGACTATTTCCTGTCCAGGCCCACAGAACATTCTAAATCTAGATTTAGATTTTTCTCTCTTGACTTCTGCTAAGGCTGGAACAATTGTTTCTTCTCTACACTCAACCTCTACCTCCATGCCCCTCTTCTCCACTACCATATTCTTCCTTCAGTCTCTGGCCATATTTGAGTTCTGAGGCAGGGCCAGGGGCCCAGCTTCCCTCAGGGAGCCCCTAAGATGTCAGGCACTAGCATAGGTACATGCACATCCAGTCCTGGCTATGGGACAGTATCTTGGGAAAATGGAAAAAACAGCCTTGCATTTGGCCCTGGTCAGTTCCTCAAAGTGAAGATGACATTTCTGGTAAGCAGTTACAATTAGATTTTTAGAGCCCCGGGCTTTCAACTAATCACATGCAGGATTAAGAAAGTTAATTTAAAATATTGAATTCTGCCTGATTAGCTAATAAACGAGGGGATCTGTTGGTGTGGAAGTAATGTAATAGAGCTAAGAGGGCCCCCTGGGCATGAGGTGTCTTGTGCCTTGTCTATCAGTCGCTCCAGCAATTACCTTGTCCTCCCCCCTTTCTTTACAGTCAGTGAACTTCTTTTTGTCCTCTTCATCTTTTTTCGCCGGCGGAGTCGGCTGAGTTCACACAGAGAGTTTTACTGATATCATTCCTAAGGTTAAGAGGGCCATTTCAGAACCTTATTTGGTTTTTTTTTTTTTTTAATTCTATGACGCCAGTTTCAGAGATGTCATTGACTCTCTGTAACTTATTTTTTTTGGCCTGGCCTTTGTGTGACTGTAGGTAAAACAATCTAAGGATATGTTTTAAAGTGGAAAACTCGGTAATTATTTTGTTTTCAAATCATTTATAAAGAGCATTTTTATCTAAGATTTGTTCTTTCTCTAAGGCATCTTAAATGTAGAATTTAAGAATATAAGGAATCCTATAGATCCTCTAATCCCCTGGGAAAACTGAAGCTCAGGGAGGTTAAGGGACTCTTACATGCAAAGTAGTTACTATCCCAGAAGGAACTATACTAGAACTCTTTCACGATGTACAGAGGGCCTGTTATTATTACTATATGCCAAGCATTGTATTAAGCATAGGGGTTACCCAAAGAGAACTCTCTGAGCTGGTCCCCGAGGATAAACAGGAGTTTGCTTTGCAGGGAAGGAGGAGTGTTTTTCCTCCTCAACTAGAAAGCTAGTTTGGGAATGTCGAAAAAGAGGAATCATGCTTTCACTACTAGCCTTTAGAGTTTAGCAGTTCAGGCTCCTATGTAAAGAAGTTTAATGAAAAGATGGTTTGGTTATAGTCTCTAAGAGTGGTGCACCTCTTCTAGGTTTGATCATTCAAGGATGAGAATGAACGGACATCAGTTGTGCCAGACCCTTTGCTGTCTGCAACGGGCATGCTCCTGCCACACCACTGTCCATGCAGTCCAGCTCCTTGC